AAAGAAAGAGGAGCTGACTATAGCTAATCCAGTCAAATCTCTCCTCTAGAATCTGAGTCATTTGTTCTAGATGGTGCTGTGTAGACATTCACACTGCAGACACCACACGAGCTGTCTAATCTGTTCTTCCCAAATTAGTTCTTCAGTCTTCTCCCCTCAACTTTCTGAAATTCCACCAATTTGTGCAGATAAGCTTCCTTCTTTCTTAGGTTTATCAGGGATAGTCCTTACGGCTTACAGCAAGAGAACTCTAACTGGGATATGACCAAGTAAGAGTGGGAATAAATAAGGCCTAAAAATGAGATCCATCAGGAAATATATTTTCAGTTCTTAAAAAAAAAAATATCAAGTACAGAAAATTCTAGTTTAAACCTGAATCATAGGGCAAATTAGTGTTTGATCATCTTAGCACATACCTAGGACTGAAAACAATCATCCCAGAAGGTAGAAAGGTTCCCAGAATAATTTTCCTTTTCAAGAATAATCTGTTGTAGGATTGACGTCACAACCCTGAGAACTGAAAAGAAAATGCATTTCTTGCAAGGTAGAAGTTTTCCTCTGTTTTTGCAATTTAAAATTTTTGTTTCTTTGGTAATTTCACAACTTTGGCATGACTAAAGGTATTTTCTTTTGGTTTTTGATTTCATTGTTGCTGGTTTTTTTTTTTTTTTTTTTGAGACAGGATCTTGCTAGGTAGTTCAGGCTGGCTTTGGACTCACTATGTAGCCAGGTTGGCCTGTAACTCACAGCAGTCCTCTTACCTCAGCTTCCCAAGTGCTGGGGTTACAAGTGTGCAGAGCCATGCCCAGCTAAATTTTTCAATTCAAATTAAACTTCAATTTGATTAGTTCTCCCACCACACCCCTAATCCTTTGGGGTTCTTCCTTTTCCCAGGCACAGATTACATTCCCTGTGAAAGCCTTGGAGGACATACATATTTACACTGGAATGAGATACAAAACTATCCAAAAAGAGGGAAGAAATCTACAAGAGAACCCTAAAAGAGGAAATAACTGAACTCTTATCGATACTGGGAAAAAGTCTGGTTTCAAACTGGGTTTCTTACTGACTCTTTTGGTCATAAAAGGAATCATCATTTATGTCTAACAAGAGACTGCTATTCTCCTTTGCCAAAGATGCCAAAGTTTCACATGTTTTAAATACCAAGCAAACATCTCCATAGAGAAAGGCTTGTTGCCAATATCTGGTGTGTCCAGGAAGCCTAAATGATTTCATGTCTACAGCTCATCTTCACACATTAGGCTGTTCATATACTCAAGTAATAAATATGATTAAATCAGAAATCTAAATGTTTTTAAAAGGCAAACCCGGCTGGGCATTGTGGCGCATGCCTGTAATCCCAGCACTTGGGAGGCTGAGGTAGGAGGATCATCACAAGTTTGAGACCAGCCTGGGCTACAAAGGGAGCTCAAGCTGACGCCTGAACTGCACAGGGAGACCCTATCTCAAAAAGACAAAAAAAGAAAAAGAAAAAAAAAAGGACAACCCCTGTGATTTCTCAAATTATGAAGTGGGACAGATGACCTTACACAGGTCACAAAATGAAGTACACTAAGCTAGCCTCACTATGAACAAGACAGCAGTCTTCATATAGAATGCCCCTCATCCATGCTAATTGTTATGACCATTCTCTGCTGCTGGATAAGTGAGTCAAGGTAGGGTGCTGAAGCAGAATTTAGTTCTAAAGCTGTTTCAGCTGCTGGTTTTACTGGGTCATATTTTGGTGGTCAGAGGATAACCCCCTGCTCACCCCTCAAATCACATACATGACTGTTTTGTTAGTGACGTGCAAACACCAGATATAGTCCTTCACTAGCATCTTGTTATTTTACCAGCCATTAATCTCTCTGCTTTCATATATAAAATATTTTGCAATAATTTTATATCCTGAAAACTGGTGGGTGGAGTCTCAAGTGGTACCAAACTGAATTAAGGAGTAGTTTAGACACGATAGGAGTCGCGTGAGAAGGATCATCACTGGAACAGTGTTACCCAACTGCAGTCAGCTGTCCTGTCTATTAATCCAAAAGCTCATAAGGAGCCCGAGATTGGATTTCGAGGACTATGGTTTGATGGACAAGAACTAAACCCTACTTATTAGCTCTTGTAAAGATAGCTCCTTGAAACTATCTTTTCTTTATGTTTATTTGCTATGAAAAATGACATCAATTTTTGCTTGGGGGAAAATCATGTAGGCTGTTCTGTCAGGACTCCCAAATGATTAGGTGAGCCTTCAGTGAGAAAAACCTGAGGGTCCTTTGCTTTTCTAATAGTTACTTGGGCTTCAATTCTACAGAAAAGGGACTGGAAAAGTCATTCTATGAAATAACTCATTAATATCTGATGAATGATTCAGTGTTACGGGCCTACATATGTGACTGATGGTCACGTCAGTCATGCTTCTCAGCTAAGACTGCCTCTGTTCACATGGGATGGTCAGTAAGTAAGCCTTGCAAGATGACAGGAGTTCAGTTCTTTGTCTCATTTCTCAGAAAGAAAAATAATAGATAAAATCTTCAGACTTAAAAGGAAAAGGGAAGGGCATACACAGACACAGACACACACACACACACACACAGAGGCACACATGTGCACGTAGATATTTCTTACCTAGAGGGGCAACATAATTTAATGGCAAGAAGGCATTTAAGTGGCAAAATGACCAGAAGACACTTCTAATTCTTAAGACACTATAATGAGACAGTGGAAGAATATTATTATTAGGTCATTCTCAAGACAGTGGTCGGGGCAGTGTTCCTATGGAAAGACAGCATTTGTGAGCAGCAGGAGTTTTTCAGTGAAATTGTCCCTTTTGCCTCTTATCTGGCTTTCGGCTTGTGGCAAGAGATAATAAATACCCACTGTAGAAAACACGAAAAATACACAAAAATGGTTTTTAAAAACCACCCATAATCTCACTACCCAGTGTGATGACTGTCAATATTCTGGTATAGTACAAAAATTTTTATTATCTAAATAAACATGTAAATATTATCTAAATAAACATGTAAATAACAATAAACATTGCTTCCTTTCCCTTCTTTCTTCCTTTCTCTTTCACCCTTTCTCTCTTTATCTTTCTTTCTTTACCTTCCCAACCCTTCCCTCTTTCCCTCCTGCTCTCCCTCCCTTCCCTCCTTTTTTGAGTTTTTCAGAGACAGGGTCTCACTATATAGTCCAGGCTGCCCATGAACACACTATGTAGTCCAGGCTGGCCTCAAACTCACAGCAATCCTCCTGCCTCAGCCTCCCAAGTGCTGAGATTACAGGCATGTGCCACCATATTCAGTAGGTCCTGCTTTAATTTAACTTTATATCACGTGCATTACTTCAGGTTTAAAAACATTTTTATAATTATCACACACATCTGTACGATAAAAACTGACTAGAGAGAAAAAAAAAACTGACTAGAGAAAACAAGAGGAAAAATGAGCAATCTAAAATACTGAAGAGGGAAGATGATCACCCCAAGTACAGATTACCGATTGTCAGTCCTCAAAGTTACGGGGGAGAACTCTCAGATGAAAAATCAGGAACTAGTCCAACACCAACAACTTGTTACACTTACAATGAAAAGGTAGTTGTTAGCAAAGGTAGAATACATAATGCTAGATACCAAGAAATAACCGTCACTGTGCAACACCAAATGATATTTGTCAGATTAATGTATTTTTAGAGAAAACATGTACAAAGGTGCTGCTGCTTGAAAGTACACTGTTCCTAACGTGCTGTCAAATTTCTGACATCAGGCCCTTTGTCCGCAGACTCAGAGAGGACTGAGAAAAGGAAGTGAGCAGTAGATACTGTAGAACTTTCCACCACTTAGCAACGTCCCCCACCCCAAACGAGTATTATTGTCAAGGACAAGAAAATAAATCAGGTGGTATTCAACCTCTAGAGAAGCACTCTGTGTTTGCAGGCGGTAGATCCCGAAAGGACTGGCCCCTCCCCTTGCCTCCAAGCTAGCTCCCATTTCCCATTACCGCCTGGGGTGGAGATGGGCGGGTGAGGGTCGAACCTGAGCCACAGCCCGCACGAAAGAGCTCAGATAAGGACCCTGAAAGATTGTAGTTTAGTACAAAGATGATGGCTGTGCAGTCAGAAAGAAACCACATTCCAACCCAAAGGTCGCCACCTTTGTGACATTTGGAAAATCATCCAAACTTTCCAGGATTTTCTTTATACAGCGGGGATGATATAACCTATTTCTCATAGTACTAGGTGTTTTATGAAAGCTGGTTATTAACACTTATGATTCATTTTTATCTCATATAGTTCTACCTGTATTTTAAAATTTTATCATGGATTACAACTCATTGTAATGGTGGTCCTGGCTTGTTGCCCTTGTTCATTTCATTTTTATCATTAATCTACTGGACTTATAATATTCCAAATAGATTCCTTCCATCCCAGAACTTGTCATTTGATATTTAATAAAGCATATAGATGGCATTGATTATACTCTTTAAACATTCATTAAACAAAAAAACTCCCTCAATTTTTTTCACTGAGAGCCCTCTATATGCTGAGCATTATGCCAGTCGATATGTCTAGAACTTAGTAAATCTTGGTTGCATAAGAAAATCAAAGGCACAATTGTCTCAATATACTTAGAAGAGGGCTTAGACAAATATTAAAGAAAAAAGTAGAGAGTTAATAAAAATGTGCAATTCTAAATTGCAACATGAGTTAAAAATAATGTTGATTTAATTTTTAAAAAGCTTCCTGCTAGGGAAAGAACATAAATTAAAAAATCATACGTTACAGTAGAACAGTAATTAGAAAATTTTATTTTTAAGCCATAAATTAGATAAATAATTTTGAGTAAAGTGTTCATTTTTTGTGGACTTTAGTTTCTTTGGCTGTAAAACCAAATACAGAGGTCACAAACAAAAAAATTTCTACATAACTTACAGCAGGCGTGGTGGCACATGCCTGTAATCCCAGGACTCAGAAGGCTGTTCAGGGCCAGCCTGGGCTTCATAGTGAGTTCAAAGCCAGCCTGCACTGCAGCAAGACCCTGTCTCAAAAACAAACACAGGAAATCACAATGGGAATTAAAAATTATTTCTATATGTATGACATATTGAAACTAATGAGTAAGTAGAAAGATAATAGTAATTACTGGTAATTAGAATAAAATGCATAAGTAGAAATAAATTTAAAGAGAAGTTGAAAATAATGAGCTATGTATGTAATTCAAAAAGGTAGTAAAGCCAGGTGTGCTGGTGCACGCCTGTAATTCCAGCACTTTGGAGGCTGAAGCAGGAGGATTGCCATGAGCTTGAGATCAGCCTGAACTACACAGCGAGACCCTGTCTCAAAAAAACAAACAAAAATGAAAAACAAAACGCTAGTAAAAAACCAAGCAGAAAAAGAGAAATTGTAGAATTAACAGTGAAAATTAATGAAGTAGGAAAAGTAAAAACATAGATAACCAACAAAACCAAAAGCTGCTTTTGGAAATAATGCACATGAGACAACTTATGGAAAATTACGGGCTAATTTCATGTAAGAATTTAGATGCATGGTTTTTACATTATGCATTAATATCTTATAGATCTGACTACATCTCATTCAAACCGACCACTAGAATATCAGGGTCACGGTCATTAGGAAACTGGTTTAAGCTTCAATGGAAGACAATCGCCACGAGATACTCAGAAGTCCAGGTTCTGCATGCCTAGACTTTTTGTTTGAAGAAGGTCTGTGTCCCAAAGTAATAAATAAAAATTAGAGAACATATGAGAGACAAAGGCCAGTCCTTTAAATTCAAAGACAGTTGTCTATAGTGGATTGCTTATTCTTCTAGAGATCTCTTCTGGCTACTTTCCAACCAACTGCAGGAGTCTGAGAATTGTTAGTGGCTTTTTGGGGGGCAGTACTTTGAGACTGAACTCATAGCCTTCACACCAACCTACATCCCCAGCCCTTTTGTATTTTGAGACCAAATTTCATTAAGCTGCTCAATTGCCCAGGTTGAGCTCCAACTTGCAATCCTCCTGCCTCAGAGTCCCAGAGTGTGGAGATTACAGACCTGTGCTACCATGCTCAGCTTCTGTTCATTCTAAACACAGCCTTTGGGGGCCAGGGATATAGCTCAGTGGCACAAGTGCCTGCCTGGCAAGTGTAAGGTCCTGAGTTCAATGCCTGGTACCAAAAAATACATACATACATACGTACATACAGACTTTGAACACTTCTGGACATTACTTTAGTTTCCTGAATTAAGTTCTTGTTCTCAACTGACCATATTGCCTTGCTTTTGCTATTTACTCATTGATGGCCTAATTATTCCAGATGTACGCTGGCTGTGTAAGTGAAATATATCCTATTGAAACATATGGGAGTAATCACCCTAGAATCATCTGTCACAAGGTATGCAGGCACAGGCTGCCATTTCTATTCCACATGAGAAGTGAGCTACATTTAAGTGAGTCCTTGGTAAAGGCTTGTGTATAGAGAGACCTCATTAAAACAACAGCAATTGATTCTTTGTTCACTTTGATGGATTTTGTTCCAAATAGTGCATAAAGTATAGTGGGATGGTTCTTGTTACTGTAAAAATAATAAATAATTATCCTGTTTTATCCCATTTTTTTGTACCAACACCATTCATGAAATATAACTCTTCATATACTTAGAATGAACAAACTAGTGAACTAGTTGACTACTGTGGCACAATTATTGCCAAGAAGAAAAAATTACTACACTATTTTGGTGTTTCATTAAAGTCAAGGTAGTTGTAATTTCAATGTCTAAGCTGTAGTAAGGGAAATGGTAGCAGAAAAAGGAGTAGGCAGGGTAGTGAAAGGGAAGGACAGTGAAGGGTGGGAACTACTGTCTGTTATAACATCTATTTAGCATACAAGAGACTTCACTTAGAAATGTCCCGGCTAGAGTCTTCAGTGAGCTACTTTTTACAACTAGTAATAAGATGAAAGCCATATTAATGTCTTATGGGAATCACTGAAAACAGTGCCAAAGGCTACTCTCTCTGGCCATTGTAATAATGCAGGTCTGGGAGGCAGTAGTGATTTGCCTTCTCTGAAGATTCAACAGAGCTGAGAGGCTCTGGAGCTAAAATCTTACTATTCTTCCAAAGAAGGGCAGCATAAAGAAGTTCTACTTTCATTCAATTAGTATGTATTCAATGGGAATATATTTCGGCTACCGAATCATTATCACAAAAAGAATTTACAGAGCACTTGTATACTATACTAAACACCATGTACATAATTTTGAAAATATATCCATTATAATCAGCAAGGTAGTTTCTTTCATGTAATCTTAGCTGTATAACAGAAAGTGGTTCTTGGCCGAGTGTGGTGGCTCATGCCCATAATCCCAGCACTCGGGAGGCTGAGGCAGGACAATTCTTACAAGTTCGAAACCAGCCTGGGCTACAAAGTGAGCTCAAGGTCAGCCTGAACTGCATAGCAAGACCCTGTCTCAAAAAGACAAAAAAAAAGAAATTTAGCTTGAAAGTAGCTATAAAGGGATAGACAACTAGGATTTTCACCGTAGCCCATAATTAGCCAACTTTTAAGACCAAAACCTCTCTGTATCTCACTTTTCTCATTTATAAAATGGGGCCAGTACAGCCATACTTTATACAATTGTGAGGATTAAGTGATATAAAAGATGTGTTTATCTACCAGGAGTTTAATAAACAGGGATTGTTATTGGGGAGACTTGAAGGGCTATTTGACTATAGTCTTTAAAAAGTCTAAATTGAATTATTTGATGTCACTTAACAGTTCTGTGGTGAAGTTAGAAATGCTTTGAGTTTTGAGAAAATTCTCTAAGTAAACATTTTCATCAGTCAGCAAAGACTGACTTGGTTCAAATATGGAAAAAGTCTTTTATTTCTATAAAAGAAATGCTGTTTCTTTTATACACCCTGATGGGGCTGGGGATCTAGCTCAGCAGCACCAGTGCCTGCCTGGTAAGTGCAAGGTCCTCAGTTCAATTCCCAATGTGTGTACAGTATAATTTTCATTGGTATTCAAAAACAATCAAAGAACACTTATAAATTTAAATAAATTTTGGGAAAATACCGCCCTTAGCATTTAGAATTTTTCAGAAAAATCCCAGAACATAGAGGAATAGAATTTGAACTCGGACACCCAAGTACCCAGAAGTAGTCATGAACCTTAAGCAAGTTATTTAACCTCAGGGCTGGGGATTTAGCTCAGCGGCAAAAGCGCCTGACTGGCAAGCGCAAGGTCGTGAGTTCGGTTCCCGGTACCGGAGAAAAACCAAAAAACAAACAAACAAACAAACAAACAAGTTATTTAACCTCCTTGTAAGTAGGTACTTCTAAAATGAGAATAATGCACCAGGGATATAGCTCAGTGGCATAAACACTTGCCTGACAAGCTTGAGGTCATGAGTTTGAGTCCTAGTACTGAAAAAAAAAAAAGAAGAAAATAATGCCTCCTTCCTCAAAGGATGTATATCAAGTGTGCCTTGTGGACTATAAATTCAACTTTTTTTTTTTTGTTTTATAAACATTATCTCCTTTGAGGATAAAAAATTGTCTTGCTGAGCAGAAATATGTTAGTAATTTAATATATGCTACAAAAATTAATCAGTTATAAATTAAACTATTCACTAGTATGTGAATGAAGGTATTAATATAAATAGTCTGTGAAATTTACAATAGTCAAATAGCACACATCTCATCTAGAAAATGTACAATTTTTCTGGAGAGCAAACTGATTAATAACATGCTTCAATTTCCTCCTGGAAACATTTCTTCACAGATGAAAATGTGATTTTTCATTTTATAACTTATATTCAAGCACTTGACTTTTTTTTTTTCCTTCCAAATGACATTCAAAAGTCACAAATATGTAGTAGAGTAATTGCTGAAATGAAATACTGGCATATCTTCTGCATACTTTTTTCTTTAATATTTATCTCTGTCACTGAAGAGTTCTGAGTATAGGTATTTCCTTCCTGGTTTTTTATTTTATTTTGTTTGTTAAAACAGACTCTTGCTCTGTTGTTTGGGTTGATCTCAGACTCACCTAGATCCTCCTGCCTCAGCCTCCCAAATGCTGGGATTATAGGCATGTGAAACCATGGCTTCTGGCCTGGCTTCTGGCTTCTTGCCTGTTTTTTCTTTTCTTGTTTTCTTTTCCTGTGTTCTGAGAGCACTACCACTACAGAATTACTTGGTTTTAAATATTGAGCCAACATTTTAAAATGGTTTAGAAAATTCTAGATTACTTTTAATATTCTAAATTTAAATTTCTAAAACAAAAATACATAGGTGAACTCATGCATTTGTACTATTTTTCAAAGATAGCCAGGCGTGGTGGCGCATGCTTGCAATCCCAGCACTCGGGAGGCTGAGGCAGGAGGATCATTTCAAGTTTGAGACCAAGCCGGGGATATAGCTCAGAGGCACAAGCGCCTGCCGTGCAAGTGCAAGGTCCCGAGTTTGATTCTCCGTACAAAAAAAAAAAAAGAGAAGATCAAGTTTGAGGCCAGCCTGGGCTACAAAGTGAGTTCAGGACCACCCTGATGGGGCTGGGGATCTACCTCAGCAGCACAAATCCCTGCCTGGTAAGTGCAAGGTCCGGAGTTCAATTCGCAGCATCCAAAAAAAAAAAAACCAAAAAAACCAAAAAAAACAAAGACCAGCCTGAACTGCATAGCAAGACCCTGTCTCAAAAAAGACAAAAAGAATATTTTTCAAAGGTTTACAGTTTTAAATTGTAATTTTCTTCTAAATATACATACTGCATTTATTTTCTTTAAAGCAGCTATATTCCAGCCTGTGGCTCTGAAGATATACCCATAAAACCAACACAGCAGCAGGTTTACTTAAGCAGCTTTCCCAGAAGTCGCTTCAGATGTGTAAGTTGATATTTTATTGTATTTGTAGAATACAATTTTTGTTTTAAACTGTATTTCCATGTGTTTCACAAAAATGCTTCTCAAAGAGTGAAATATCCCAGAAAACCTGTGTGTTACACTTGACACACAACTGCACAAATGAACAGTGTACAATGTTGGTTGTGCATTAACTTCCACGCACAACTTTTGGAATCTGTGTTCACAAATGCATGTTTCTGCAAGTCACCTTTATTTATAAGTGACAGTAATTTATTTTTTTTTTTTTGTTTTTTTTTTTTTTTGGTTTTTCTCCGGTACCGGGAACCGAACTCACGACCTTGCGCTTGCCAGGCAGGCGCTTTTGCCGCTGAGCTAAATCCCCAGCCCCAAGTGACAGTAATTTAAATTAAGGATACAAAGAAACCTGCATTTGTCACTCAGAGTTTTCGATCAGTCCATAATACAATGTATGGAAATGGGAAAGACAATTTTGTATATTTGTTTGTTACTAACTCAGATCATTGAAACGAAAACAATTTTTTTTTTTTTTTTTGATACAGGGAATTGAACTCATGACCTCTGGCTTTCCAGGCAGGCACTGCACCGATGAGTTATATCCCAGGGCCCCGAAAACAATTTTTTAAACAAAAAGAAAAACACTGAGCCATTTTGGAGTTCTTACAAATAGGCACATTCTGTTCTAACAGTAAATTTTATATTTTATGGTAGAATAAACATTAAACACAGCTAAATATGCAGGCTGACTTGCAATAACTAGAGGATTTAAATAAAGTACAGGGAAATATTAGAGTTAATAGAAAAGTTAATTGAGCAGTACATCTTCGGAATGAAAATAGTTGAAATCGACTCAGTCAAAAGGCAATGACAGAATAAAACATGCGTATTCAGGTGTTTCTCATTGCTTTTTTTTTTTTGGTCTTTTTGAGATAGGGTTTCACTATGCAGTTCAGGCTGGCCTTAGCTCACTTTGTGGCCCAGGCTGGCCTTGAACTCGCAAAGATCTTCCTGCCTCAGCCTCCCGAGTGCTGGGATAACAGGTGTGCATCACCATGACCGGCTCTCATTGCTTCAAGTACATTATTGTACATCACATTTGTGTGCTCCTTCTCTAGATTCAACTGAAAATCAAAAATACTTGGGATAAAATAAGTTGGTATTGAACATGTACAGACTTTTGTTGTCATTAGTCCCTAAATGATACAAGCATTTATAATAGCATTCATAATATACTAGTGTTACAAGTAACACATCATTTTATGTAAGGGACTTACTTGACTATCCTTAGATTTTTTGTATTTGAGGGGGATCCAGGAACCAATTCCTCACAAATACTGAGGGAGACTGCATTTGTGTTCATGCATTAAGGGTCATGCACATTGTGGTGATAAAGGGAAAGGGGCAAGAAAGGGAGACAAACTTCTAAAATTCAGATTTCTGTAATTGCAGGACGTGTTTTTTGGGGGGATGGTATACTGGGGATTGATCCTGGGGCCTTTTCACTTTACATTCTCAGCCCATTTTTATTTTGAGACAGGCACTCAATAAATTATTTAGTATGGACTGCAACTTGTGATCCTCCTGCCTCAGCCTCCCAGAGGGCTGGAATTACAGGCATGCACTACTATGCCTAGCTAGGGTTTTTCTTTATAGCTTAGCAGGATTTGAAGGAACCTAAGCAGGAGTTTGAAAGTGACATGGCAGGCCAGAATTAAATACACTTGATAAGATCATTTAAATACATTTGTTATATATTAATTTTTTTTAAAACCTTCTTTTATAAAAGGATTAACTCCTCAGGGAGCTCTACCATCAAAACAACCAAAACCAACAAAACACTCTTTGCTATCAGTTATGGGAACAAGTACAGTATCTGTTTCTTACAGGGTTATCTCAGCAACTCTTTCATTCTGTCAGTTTTGGGTAAGACCTCAATATATCTGTTTCAACTATACCAGCACAGTCATAGCAAGTATTTATGGAGCCCAGGGGCTGGAAAAGTTGTTTGGGATAATTTACAACTTCAACTTAAGGTAACATTTTGAGAGATCAAGAGCATTTTCTTTCACAGGATAGTTCAAAGAACCAGCGTTTTGCCAGTCTACGTTCCACTGTAGTTTTAATCAGTCAGAAAACTGTTGAAAAAGCAAGTCAGATTCGTATTTCAACAATGGACAGTAGTCATTAATCAAGGGTATCACTTGCAACAAAAGAATAAAAAAGTGACTATTTTTGTAAAATATACACATGGCCATGCTATCTAAAAACAGCCATTCTCAAATTAACAATATCATAAAACAAGTACTCGTTTCACATCTTGATTTTTTACTGCCATTATCACTTTCAGTATTTTTGAGCGTATACTTTATTTACTTAGCAGAGTTCCACACTATCAATTTAAAGACAAAAAATCTTGTTTTCTTAGTTCAGGGAGGACACGACAGATAAAGGAACGTGTATCAGTTTTGAAATAGGATAGACAAGGATGTCAACAGATTATTTCTATTCAATAGTAATTGAACAGTGACATTCTCACCTTTTGGAGGGATGAAATGAGGGGAAAAGCTCTGAAAAAAATCAAAAGTAAGGTGTTTAATAGCCAACCAGAAGTCAGCTAAAAGTCTACAACTTAATGTCCAGAAATAGGATAGATTTCCTTTGTCAGAAGTCTACCCATAAGCAGTCAATATTGCTCATGTATTGAGGGGTCATAGACATTTTGGTGATAAAGGGGGAGTGAGGGAGTGACAAATTTCTGAAAATTCAGATCTCAAATTTAAAAAATAAAAAATATTCTCTGGTTTTTAAACTTACTTTTAAAAAAGTTCCTGGCTGGGAAGTATTTTTGCAGAAACTAGCAAGGGACTGCTTAGAGCTAGGTTCTGACCTGTACAGTCAGGCTAGCATCTTGCAGTAAGTTGCCTCAATCAAATGTAACACTGCTTCCGTAGAACTACGCGCAGAACCGTGAAATGCAGGGTTTCTGTTCGAAACTGCAATTTCAGGTCCTTTTGCGCTGCCACCCCTGAAAGGACACTGCGTTCGCCGCCGCACTGACACGGTCGGGACGCGCAGCTCCCCCGCCTCGTCCCCAAACCCGGGGCTCTGGCTTTGAGACCGGCGTCCCCGTAGGTGAGGACGGCGGGAGCCGCTCCCTTTCGGGCCACGGCCCACCCCGGCGCTCAGAGCTGTCGCCCGACGCCTGGCCCCTGCTCCTCGCGGGGCGAGGGGGCCGCACGGCAGCCACAGCCGCAGAGCACAAAGGCGACGCGACCGCACGCGCCCCGCGCCCTCCGGTAGGGGCGAGCTCGAGGCCGGGCGAGCCCAGGCGCGGGCCGGGAGCGCCACGCAGGGCGCAGCGCCTGACTCCTGCGGCGGCGGCGCCTGGGGACGGGAACTCGTGATGCTGTCGCTGCGGAGAACAGCCTCGGTACCCGCTCCGCAGGCGGGGGACGCCCCCCCAGGGCGCGCGCACCGTCCCGCCCCGCCCCATCCCCGGCCTCGAGCCCTGGAGCCCGCGCCGGCGCGTGAGAAAAGAGCGGACACACCTAACCCCGCGCGGCCGCAGCCCCGCACCCTTCCCCAACCCCCACCGGGCGCAATCCCTCAGCGCGACCCGGATTCGCTTCCTCGGCAAATTCCCCACCCCCACTGCCCCAGGCTTCGGGGCCTCCGTAGCCTTCGGCAATTTCCGTCGAGAGACCCAGCATTCGGCAAGGTCCGAACTCCCGCCGTCTCTTTCCCCGCCAGACCCGACTTTATGTGTGCGGCGCCGAAGCGCATGCGCAGACGCCATCTTCCCTCTTCTCTCTGACCTGCCCCCCCCCCGCTCTCCCCGCCGCCGCCGCCGCCGCCGCCGCCTCCTCTCGCCGGCGGTCGCCCCTCCTCCTTCTGAACCCGCGCGCTGGTCCCTCCTCTCCCGATGCCGCGAGAGCCTGGGGGATACGGCGGAGCCGGAGGAGAGCACTAGTAACAACCACCACAGCCCCTCTCCGCCCGCAGCCCTCCCCCGTACCCACCCACTCCCCCGCCCCGTGCGCCGACAGCGACCGGCCCCACCTCGCGTTCCTCCGAGCGGCGTCGGCTGCAGTCGCCCCGCCAGCCCGTCCGGCCGTCCGCACCGCGAGAGGAGCC